TCTGCAATCGTGCCTTCATCCCAGGCTTCATTGATTCTACGAGCAGATGCAGAAGCATTCGGTTTCGAGCTCAACTTGCACTCATGTAGCAGAGCAATTCTTTTTTGCTCGCGTGTAAGCTCCATAGTGAAGCAAATACACAAGTGTTGTACATCAAAATGTACAAGAGATTGCGCGCTTTCAGACTACATCATAATCTTTGAAAATAATCAGCAAAAAATCAAAGAGCCATGAGCCTGAAAAAAAACGGCGGATAATTATTGCTCAACCTAATATTTGATGGAACTATCCTATTTTTTCCATTTCTAGAACTTCATTGCAGGACGAGGTTTGAACCTCTTGCGTTAGTCTCAGCAGCACAGGGTGGATGAGGCTCATTTTCTCAAAACATCGTGACTTTATGATCCGTTTAATTCAGTCCGACCGTGGTTAACCAAGACATTATCTCCAATGAGCCATACTATTAACCCAGTCGGGAAATGCCTTGGTAGAACCGAAACCATGTACTACTCCTTGGCTGGGTATTTCAAGATATTATCGAGGCCAAGGCGCATGCGAAGCACCTCGGAATTTGCATGAAAGTCCAACGCATGGTGTAGCTCGAGACGCTTACCATTTTTCTGCCCTTTGAAAGGTTCAGGGCGGAAGTGGTGTAGTGGCAAGTGGCGCGCTTACCACGCGAGCGGTCCGGGGATCAAATCCTGGGTCGTGAGTCGCCCGGGCCAACCAAGCCTTCCATCCCTCCGGGGTCGGTTAATTGGTACCAGACTTGTCTGGGAGGATAAAAACACTGACTTGTACATCGGCTGGCCCCGCAAGTCATTGTATAGGCCACATCGCATTCAAACGCCACTACGAATGTACAAATGGAAGTAGAATGCGTGCCGCATCCCAAAAAGGGATTGATCAACGGCAAATGCTTTATCCTTTATCCTTTAAATGTTCGTAAAGGGAAAAGGACAAAACAATATCGAAAAGAAAAGCCTAAAAAGTTTGGGAAGAAATGCTAGATTACATTGTAAAGGAGACGATAAGAAGATTCAAAATGAAAGGAGTAGAATGTAAGAAATCAGTTATACTGCACACGGCGTGGAAAACATCGGAAACAGTCCTCTTTCACCATCACTGCGATCTGCTAGTTAGTAACCGGTTTGTGAGGTAAACGGCAACTCTTCTATTTAATGGCAGGCATAACGACTACACACAACAACTATTGCCTAACCGGTGAAAAACGGTAAAAGGGTGACTCTATCACACGGGCTTGAGCCTCAATCACAAAAAGGGCTTACGCCTGCGAATAGAAAAAACTTCCGATATTTCCAAGAAAATATGGTCCCATTTGGCAGAATTCTTGAGAGAAAAAAGTTCAGGAGGAGTAGTTCTGACTGTTTTTTTGTCTTTTCTGCGATTTTAAAGCCACAGCTCGCGTTGCGACAAGTTTCGAAAGATGCCTGTTTATGGGTAAAAACCTGGCCTCAGGTGAGATATAAAAAGCGTAAGCTTCTGAGACTTGTAAAAAATTGCAAAACTCCCAGCTACTTCGATGACGTATTCAAAATAATATACCAATAGGAAGCTCCGTAGATGGAAATAATGCCGATAATTTCAAGGTTGTTACCATTCTCGTCCAATATATGACGACTAGTCTGCCACCTCCGCCTATTTTCACCGTTTTTCAAAGACCGAATGACACGTGGAACAAAGAGCTGACCTTGGATCAACCCAATTATCTCGGGACACGGTCTTACTGTAAACTGAACTAATGGGTACATTTGTCGGTAATCTTTATGAGAAGCATTGGACTCCTTCAAAAACCTGGTTTGATGCCTCTCGCGATATTCAATGATCTGTAGGATCAAGCGTCAGCATCGAGCCATATACTTTTTTCCGGCTATGTCACTCAGCCTTCGGCTGTTTATGCCGCAGTCGCCTTGGCACTGTTTCGGCCTAGTTGGGGCGGGCGAACGGCTGCACCCGCTGCATCTTGTGGAGCACATGCCCGACGTAAGCGACGAGGTGCGGGGTGTCAGATCCCGGTGCGGACGAAGCAGTTTTTTCATAAATCAGCATTCTTGTGGCACTCACGTATTTTCCACCTATTGTCATGCTCTCCCACATCTCCTGTACACTTCTAAACTTCTTATGCAGATCGAAGGCTATATGTTTAAGCCGCCTTCATGCCTCCTCATGAGGGATAAAGAGACTCACTGGAAAAGGTTTATTGTTGATCATTTTAACTGAGGCAATAGAAAAATCAAGAATTAGAAGACTCGCGGAAAAAAGAAGTTAAAAAAGATATGCATGTCCCGATCAAACTGTGTGTTGTTGCGCGCGAATAGAAAGATTGGCCGAGATGGGCCGGCAGTGCAAGCAAAATAAAACAGAGGGGACATGCACAAAAACGCTTGCTGGCGATTAGGGTTTAGTTACCATGGCTATGCGGGTGTGTTAAGGCAATGAGAGACAGAGCGCGAATAGAGGAGGATAAGACGAGAGAGCGCAACAGATGAGAGGGTGACAGACAACAAACAGCTGCGCGCGTGAAATATTGCAGCTGCTGCAGCTAATTTTACAGAGCCTTAGTGCCCTTGTTGGGCGATTTCCACGCTTGCGAGTGCCACATCTACGATTGCCCTCTAGGGTCTATCCTGAAGATCGTAGGGAATTGTTCACACGACTGCCTAAGTTGGCTTTTACATGGCGCTCTACTCCCGGGTACCCGAAAGGAGGCCCGTATTTAACTTGACCTAAAATCACTACAGTATGCGATGCGACTCGTCCTCTGACTCTGCCTTCTTGTAGCGCGACGGGCCTCCTGGGAACCCTTCTACTCCCATACTATCTAATGGCATTAGGTAATTCATTCCATGAATTATGGAAGTGAAGCCATCTGAAAATGTTCGTAGCTCACATTTTGCAAGATTCGGCGTTTTTGCCGAAGCTACCGCAAGAGTATCAATCTGGAGACTCGACGGACTCATGTAGTGAGGGGGGAGGGTTGGGTGCAATAGTCTCTGCTGATTACAGCAACCCTAAATTTGGAGGGAAGGAAGCTCCGGAATGGGTTTACTAATTTCTTTTCTCCAAATCCTTCTAGCAAAATGCCGATTTTCTCATGAAAATTCCCCTCTTCCTACATAAATGTCGGTTCGACGATTTGGAGACTCGACGAGTCTGCAGAGTAGAACAGGCACGCATTGCCTCGACTGCTTCCAAACATGAGCATTTTTTACTCAAGCGACTCAACGGCTCTTTTGTTGTGTACGCACACAATCCTTCCAGTGGAATCGCTAGGCCTCCAAAGAACAGAGCCTATCAAAATGTGACCTACGAACGCTACCTCGAAGCTGGAATTCGCCTTGCGCGACGAATGTGCCATAGTTCCCGCGAGTACAGACCCCATTTTCCAATCGACGTACTCGTGTAAAACTTTTCAAGTAAGTTCGTAAAACTGTTTAAATATTGCAAAGAATGTACCTTTTTCCCTAATGTTGTTGAACTTGAAGCATCCTGCACTGGTGGGGAATAAATCAATGATTAGCAGCGAAACTGGTGCGATACTGTCGCACGAGCTTACTTTTACCTTTTTTTTAAATTTTTAGCCTAGGTAGTCGCTTTAATTGTTACGTACTGTGTTGTCTGCGTTCTGCAGTAGGCGTGAGGTTGTCAGATATTCGTTCGTAGATTTTAACTTACTTTAATTTGAAATTTAGGGATGTCGGCAACTAAATGGAAGGTGTTCTTCGACATTTCGTGTCCTAATTCGTGGATAAGCTTCAAGGTACGAAGTCTGTTTGATGTTTGATGCGAACTTGATTTATTTTCTTGTAGTAGTTTGCTGGTGAATGCAACAATCGGAAATTGAACGCGCGGTAACAAAGCGGTCGTGTCATTCTCCCTAGAAAACCAAGTTTAGAATCTGAACAGGCCTTTGTCGTTGCACATAATCTTATTTGGGTCTATTCCAGTTAGGGGGGGGGGCATCATGGTGCGGTGGACTCCCAAAAAGCTACGGTAACACTGAGCCAGGGGGAGTGTAGCCAGCCTAGGGGGTGAGGGCAGTCACTTGACATGCGTGAGAAGCTGGAATGTTCGAGTACACATTAGCTCGCCGAGAAACTGCATCATGATGCCCCCTAACTGTGAGCCCTCTTATTTGACACTACATACTGGAATCACTACAATGGAATCATCGCTAGTCTGAAATGCTTTTCAGAAATTTGCTTCTCCTTTTCAGTCTGCGACACACTTTTGATGAATATCTTTATTATTGTCCCTCAGCCAAGAGTTCGCTGAATATTCTCAGCGTAAACAATCCTAATTCCAGTTTTCATGCTCATCAGTAGAGCAGGCAACTTGATATACTGGACTGACCTAGGGTAATGGCTAGAGGATGGGAATGGCCTCGTATTAGACGCGCTATTCGACCTGTAATAGGGAAATCTGGTTGTTTCAATAATACACAAGTATCTCTCCTACAACAAATGTTTAGTTTTTTAGCGTGTTCCATGGTGGTTGATACTATCGCATAGAGCTCCCAGCCGACTTTAAGCGCTGTTTTTGAAGTTTCGCGTAACAGAACTGCTTGTGACCGTGTGCCTAATTTCTTGTATTGCAACAATATTGTGCTGAGCTCCCATTGTATTGGCGTTTTCCCTTTACATGAAAGTTTCAGTTCTATTTTAGCTCTTGAATAGTGGAAAGCTTCCTCTTCATATTGATTGTCTCGATTTTGTCCCTATATCTGATGTGAAACTTCACTTAATCAGGACGTATGAAGCGAGGATGAGAAGAAGATGTTAGCTTTACTATAATCACAGAGATCTGTCGCTGGGAGAGATCTTTATTTATTTCTTGAAGGGAAGCGGAACGATGAAGAACTCACAATTACTTCAATTCCTGGCAACACCGAGCTTTTCTCAAAAACAGTTCAAGATACAGAGTGCAAAATGATCCCTGATAACTGGGAAGCGGTTCGTCTATAGATTAAATAAATACTTCTCATGCTCAGTTAAGTCCAAAGTTTTCCATGGCCTTACTTCAGGTACGCTCTACGATTCTACTTGATGGTACCTTGCTGCCAGCAATATTCCTGTCTTCAGTTAAAAAGCGTTATCCTGAACACTTCCTACACTGTGTTGAAATCATCGGAGAGCGAATCTGGGATCTGCAACAGCCTGTCCGGAAAGGTGCTCATCTATTCCAGTGTTCACGTGCAGCAGGAGTGAGCTTCAGAGATTCTGAGGAACTCGTGTCTCGGCTGCCACATATGGATTCTAGGCAGCTCCTTCATGAAAACTCATTAGAAGCACTCCAATTAGGGGTGAGCTTATTTATGATTTAATTTTCTTTAGATCCAAAGAAATGAATAGTTTCACAAGAATGCTGGGTTGTGAACAAAACTTTCGCCCCAGGCGGGACTAGAACCCGCACCTCTCGCTTTCCGGGCAAGTGCGCTACCAGTTACGCTACCGGGGCACCATTTCATTCCAACTCAGCTTTCACCTAGTTCTCTTTTTGCTTAAGCGAATTGATTTAGTTTTACGGGACCTTCTCCACCCCTCATCCACTTCAGAAATTGTATTTACTGTGGTCCACACAGGCATCGAAGATCCCTTGTCCGTATTCGTAAGTAGGTTCCATTTTGTGTATTTGAACTTTGTATTTTTAGGCGTCTAGTGCTCCGTTTTTCGCTTCAACTAATGGCATACCGACAACAACCTTCAATAATTTCAACGATTTCAAGCGATTTGTGCTTACTTCGTGATAATTATGTTGAAGACCTTGTCAGCCTTCTGTTGTTATCTCACTACATGAGTAATGTTGTTTCTTCTGTTGTTGCTTTTGACATATTGTACGGGTCCGATTTTATCTACACACATTTTGTGATTTTATATTTTATTGAAGAACTAGAATAAACAGTTATCCATCATGCTTTCTGTTTCTTAATTAACACGTTGACGACATTGTGCAGCGCATGCGCATCACACCTTGAGCACCGTGTGGGACCGTGTGCAGCGCATGCGCTGCACACACAAAATATTTATTTTTTTCGCGCATGCGCTACTTCTTTTCTAATTTTTTGCATCTATTCTATAGACTGCACCATAATATGACTAGACACGGCGAGGTTCATTGAATGGTTGAATATGCTCCTTTTTAGCGAAGGTTTTCTAAGCCCTACGAATTTCCCAATTGTGTTCATTCCTAGTTTCCTTTATATTCTGATAATCTTGGTCATAAAAAAGAGCAGTAGAAGTAAGTACAGACCCACACATATAGCAAGACATATGTTTTTAGTGGAGCAACCGCCGTCAAAAATAATTTTTTTTTTTTAAAATTTTTTTTTTTGTTATTATTTGTTTTTTTTTTTTTTTTGTTTTTTTTTTTTGTGGGTTTTATTTGAGGGTCACTGCAAGGAAGAACTGGGCTTGCTATATCGTCAGAAAACATCTATTTATATAGATCGATTTCACAGCTTTCCCTTCTGATAAGTTTGACACATCGAATATCATTCTAAACATCTTTGCATCGGAGTTTTGGGTATTTAAAGCTCAAAATTCACGGATTTGATGTGAGGCGGCGGCGCCTGCAAAATCGCCGTGGTCCCACGCGGCGCAAAAACCCAAAACGCGCGTTGTCGTCAACGTGTTAATTTCGGTTGTTTTCATATCTAGTAACCGGCAGTTTCAGATTTTGGTTTAACTCTTCGCGGAAGACTCATTGCAGCGCCCTGAAATGGCAAAGATGGTTTTAGGCCATCGACCCAGGCTGCAAGGCCGCTCTGATGAATACATTGTCGCAATAAAAATGATCGAAGGTCACATAAGTGTTAGTTTAAAAAAAAAACTAAGAGTCGCCTAGAAGTGGCGCGCAGAATCGTCGCCCGAGTTCTGTGGTCACTATGTGAGGGCTACCGAGGAATGAACTTCCGCCAAAGAACTGGGACGTAGGATCGCTAACTAGGAAGTATCGAGAGGTGACTGATCTAATGTCATGCCTGAAAATTCATATCACGACTCCTTCAAGGAGACACGATGGAAAAGAGCTAACATCGGGGAAATCGAAGAAGGTGCCAAGCTATTCTATAATACAATCTTAAAGAGCAGACGCAATGGCGTGGTCATAGCAGTGATGAAGTCATTACAAGAATGCTGAGTTGTGAACAAAACTTTCGCCCCAGCCGGGATTCGTACCCGGATCTCTTGCTTTCCGGGCAATTGTGCTACCAGTTACAAGCAAGAGATCCGGGTACGAATCCCGGCTGGGGCGAAAGTTTTGCCCACAACTCAGCATTCTTGTGATAACTTTCGCAACGCGAACTGCGGCGTAAAACAGCAGTTATCCAACCAAAACAATTCAAGGTGATGAAGTCTTCCAAGGTCCGCTGTGAACAGGACCAACGATCGAGTTGTGGCTGTGAGAATAGACATGAAGGAGTGGTCCCGAACGATGTTGCCCTGTACACATAGCAAGTCGATTGCTCCGAAAGCGAGAAGGATGAGCTCTATTGGAACCTAGACGAGCCGTCAGATTGATTTCGGATGATGTTGGCTTACCGTCGCACGTCTGAATCGGCATATTGGTAGTGATACAAGACGTCTGGAAAGCAGGGTCAACCCTATCGTTGTTACTTTTTGAAAAATTTTTACGACCCCCCTCCCCCAAGGTGGATTTGATACGACCCCCTTTTCCACACCTCGACCACCATATCCTCTCTATAGTATTTAATTCTGGTACCACTCAACCCACCAAACTCCGCCCACTTTTTCCTCCAAAAATGCCGTCGAGCGGGGGGGGGGGGGGATATACGCGCGACCTCAAACTCACATGTGATTTCAAGCGACTGAAACGGGTACGACCCCCCTCCCAACCAAGTACGACCCCCCGTTGTTACTAGTAACAACGTAGGGTTGACCCTGCTGGGAAGGGTTCACGGAGGTGGAGATAGGGAGAGAGGGCTCTGAACTTGAGACTACAGCCCACGAACTGGCAATCTGCAGCACGTTCTTCGCGAAAAGGGAGACTCAGAAGGTACCTACAGCAGTGGAGGGAGACAAACGGAAATCGACCATGTGCTGTAAGAAGATCATCCCTCAGAACTGTGAAATACATCAAGGTAGTCGCTGGCGAAGAAATGGTTCCGTAGCGCAGGTCCCACCGGCGAAGAAATGGTTCCGTAGCAAGGCCTTTGGTGGCAGACATTGCTATAGACCTCCCAAGAAGACAAGGGTAAGAACCGAGAGGAGAATCCGGTGGTGGAAGCTGCACCAAGCAGAGAAGAGCGACCTCAAACGAAGGATAATGGAAGTTGGTCTCCCAGATCCTGAGGGACCAGTGCAGCAGACTTGGGGCAACGCGGCTGAGATCATCCTACGATGCGCCAAGGAGGTACTGGGCGAGACGCGAGGTGGATTCAGAGGAGACAAGGCAGCGTGGTTCTGGAACGAGGAGGTCCAGCGAGTCGTGAATATGAAGAAGGCAGCATTCAAGTGCTGGCAGAGGATGTGGAGCTCAAAGATACAGTAGTTGCAAGAGACTTGCAAAGGGTGAGTCGCCAAGGCGAAGGAGAAGTGGATGCCCTGTGCGAGCAGTTGGAAAGCAAAATGCAGATATTTGATCCATATGGGCTATACAAACCTTCAGGGTGGAGGAAATTGTGAAGAGCAGCGACGGCACAATTCTGAGGAAACCAGTCTAATTGACAGGTGATGG